CATGAATTGAACCGTGACCTCCTGGTTCATAGATTGATGCTCAGCCACTGACTGAGCCACACGGGCCGGGCCCTAGTAGTTTTTTTAATTGGTTGTAGGTTTACACTCATAGTGGGCCAAATTTGGATGAATTCATTGTAAAACGAATTTTCTGTTTTAATAAGCAGTCATTGAGACTTGAGCATTTTATCTCTCTCTCACGAGGGGTGGTCGATTCAGAAAGTTACTCTTTTCTGTTAAACTCGTTGATTGAGAGGGGTGCTGCTCAAGACACTGGTTTCCCAGGCCCCCCTTTTGAAATTCTGACTTAATGGTTTGGGGCAGACAGGGAATGGGTGGTCATCTCGGGGCCCACATAAGGATTTCTGTGCTTTCTCCTATTTGGAATTAAATATTTGAATTGTGGAACAAGTCTTTTATCCCCCAATATTTTATGAAAAATTTGAAGCACACAGACAAGTTGAAAAAATGTTACAGCTTCCACCTCTATCCATCCATCACTTCATATTATTTTATTTCCACAAAAAAGAAGGTTTAGCCTCGGCTGGTGTGGCTCAGTTGGTTGGAATGTTGTCCTGTGCACTGGAAGGTCTTGGGTTCGATTCCTGGTCAGGACACATACCTGTGGGTTTGATCTCTGGTCTGGGTGTGTACAACAGGCAACCAACCGCTGTAACTATCTCACATTGATTCTTTTTTCTCTCTCTCCCTTCCTCCCTCTCAAAAAAAAATCAATTACAAAAGGTTTAGCTGATGGAGGCTCAGAGTATTTAGCCACAATGGGAAATGATATTTTGGGTCTTTGAGTAGAAAACATGCATAGTTACACCAAGATCAAACACCTGAAAACTGGAGCAAAAGAAGACACTTAGACCGAGGGAAAAGAAGCAGAGAGCTTACTTGCCACCAGGGGGCAGTGTGAGCCAGAGGAACTGGAAGGTGCGTGAGCTGCGGGCTTGCACTGATCCCTTTTAAGAGTGGGATTTAGCTGATGGAAGTAGTTTCAGAAGTTAGATCATTAGGGTCATATTTTTTCCTGACAATTGCTTCCCTGAATTAAGTGTGGGGATTTAAATAACGAGGACTCCCTGGGCTGGCATTTCTGCATCCAGGATTCTTAACGGCAGTATTAGAAGTGGCTTTGGTAGATCAGAGAGCGTGCACATTTGAGATGACAGACACTGCTAACTTGTCCTCTAACAGGACTGTATGATTTGTACCCACATCCCAGGAAATGTGAAGGCTTTCCTCAAACACCCTAAGTAACTGACAGTTGCCAGTCTGGTAGGTGAAAAATAAAGATTTTAAAATTCAGCCCTAACCAGTTTGGCTCAGTGGATAGAGCATCGGCCTGTGGACTGAAAGGTCCCAGGTTCAATTCCGGTCAAGGGAATGTACCTTGGTTGTGGGCACATCTCCAGTAGGGGGCGTGCAGGAGGCAGCTGATCGATGTTTCTCTCTCATCGATGTTTCTAACTCTCTATCCCTGTCCCTTCCTCTCTGTAAAAAACCAATAAAATATATTTTAAAAAAAATTTAACTCTCCCCCTTCCTTTTAAGGTAGAGCAAACATCTTTTCATATGTTTTTTGACTATTTGTTTCCTCTCCCATGAATTCCTGTTTTTTCTTTTGCCCATTTTCTTTTGGGCATTCTTATTGATGCTTAGGAGCTGTTTATATGTTACTAGAGGCCCGGTGCACAAAAATTTGTGCACTTGGGGGGGGTCCCTCAGCCCGGCCTATGCCCTCTCGCAGTCTGGGACCCCTCGGAGGATGTCCACCTGCTGGTTTAGGCCCGCTCCCTGGGGGATCGGGCCCAAGCTGGCAGTCAGACATCCCTCTGGCAGCCCGGCAGCCCTCAGGGGATGTCCACTAGCCAGCGGGTAGCAGGCCTAAGCTGCAGTCGCACATCCTTAGCGCTGCTGAGGAGGCGGGAGAGGCTCCCACCACCACCGCTGTACTGGCAGCCATCAGCCTGGCTTGTGGCTGAGCAGAGCTCCCCC